TCAAAATCAATAATTTGTGATGTTTATTAGATTTGCTTTTAAACTACAAACCCTCTAGACACCCAGGTCGTCTATTACTGGCCTTCTATTTATAATTTAGTTTTATATTATTATTTTAATTTGACCTAAAGTGAAAACAAAGACCCACGGTGAGCCGTTTTTTACATTTTAAAACAGCCTCCCAGAAGATCTGCGGGCGGCAGAGAGCGGTTGTTATGTTTTTGTTTTGTGCAGCACTGTTACCTTTTGTGCATGAAGAGGGCTACAGGAATAAAGTTTGATTTGATGTGATTTTGATCAATTTTCTTGTCAAACGTGTCTGTTTGGCTGCTGGAGTTTGTTAGAAGGCAGTGAGCTTATTGTAGGTACAATCTAAAAACAACAGTTCAGAAGGAGAGGAAGAACCTTTTTTAATCACCTATGGGAAATTCATTTTTTCTCTCTGTTATTGTATTCACACACAGCCCAGGTGCAGGGGCGGTTCTAGGGGGGCAACAGGGGCCAGTGCCCCCGTAGCACTGACCAGGGACCCCCTATGCCCAGCGCCGTTGGAGGGACAGGGAAGGCCCTCCTATTTGACGTTCCTGCCCTCCCCCAATAAACACGATTTTTATTATTTATAAAAATAAAAAATAAAAATATATATTTTTTTTTAATTATAAATAAACTGTGAACTTTTATGCTACGATGTATGTGATGTCAGATAGCAAAAAATAAATAAATCGCAGGCTACGTCAAATAAATTCATGTGTCTGTTGTGATTTGTGATTCGTCCACATTTAGACCAATCACAGCGTCACACTCTGCCGCCTATTCTGGATTTGTTTATTGTTTATTGTGCATTCTGTAGACTCCCATTTCTGTTTGAATTACAAAATGGACATCAGAAATTGGCTTAAAAGGTCTAAGGATTTATTAAAACGAAATAGCGATGAAAGAACTGCAGCCGATGGTGATGCTGGCGACCCTGCACCTGCCGTTGCAGCAGCGCGCCTTAATGTCACAAGCTTGACCTCGGCAAACCCCGGGGCTGAGTTAGCGAGCCCAAGCCTTGACTCATCAAGGCGGCCGCCACCAAGGCTGTCCTCCGAGGCACAGCTCCTTGTGCCCCTACCATCACCACCTGCGTTGCCACACCCTGTACCACACCCGCCAGCATCCTCCTCCTCCTCCTCCTCCTCCTCCTCCTCCTCCTCCTCCTCCTCCTCCTCCTCCTCCTCCTCCTCCTCCTCCTCCTCCTCCTCCTCCTCCTCCTCCTCAGCATGTCCGAGTCAGGCAGTGGGCTCTTCCTATCGCTGTTTGAGTATACGCTGCACAAAGATGCAGAGTTGGCCAAAATAATGGAAAGCATTCCCCACACAGCAACACACACCTCTCACGACATGCAACATGCCATAATAGAACTAACAGCAGTTAATCGTCTCCGTCTCTACTATTTCTCTCCGAGTGCAAAGATGAGGAAGCTGCCATCCTTAACCAGTGTGCCTTGCTCGTGATTTACCAGTGTTTATGTTGCCCTTTATTTGTGTATGTATTTGCGATAAGTGTGCGTCTTTAACATTTTAAACTGTATACCCCGGTTATCTAGGCCCTTTATGTTAGTTTTTTTGTTGTTTGATGTATATATGTCACACTGTAGGACCTCGAGAAACGATATTTCGATATTTCTGGATGTACAACATGTAGAATTCTTGACAATGCCGTTGACCTTGCTGTTTGATATATATTGTGCCGCAGGCCCGCAGCACATGACGGTTTTGTGTGCCCTCCCATGAAAATCATATGCCCTCCCTTTAGATTTGTTCTGGCGCCGGGTTTTCTTATTAAATTGTCACTTAAAGTTACTAAAACAATACTCTAAATGAAAAAAACGACTGAAACAAAGGACTGTATCTTAAATGTACTAAAACAAATACCAATTACTGTATTTTATGTTTATTTTACACAATTACTTTATAGGCTACTGTCTTTGACTTTTTAACACGCTTTTATTGGGCCCCTCTCATGAAATAACTGGCCCCAGCCTGGCCCCCCCAGTCAAATTGGTCTAGAACCGCCACTGTCCAGGGGTTAGTGCTAGATCGTATACCTCCTGGGTTTTAGGCGGCGGAAGTGACGTTATCGTGGATGAGAAGTCGTCAACTTTTGCAGCAACTGACTGCACATCTGGTAGTAAAAGTAGACATGATTCATTTAATTTTGCATGGGCTCTTCGTGACTCTGGAGTCCTGCAGGAATCCGGAGGACAGCGAACAAGAGTGAGAGGGAGCACACTCCTAAAAAATCTCCCCCTTTTTTTTCTCCAATAAACCTGGTACTGTGTGTGTCACTGTAATCCAAAATCAAACGCACTCAGTGGCTTTCTGAGTGTTAAATCCCATCTGTGCTTTTCTTCTTGTGAGATATCATTTTTGTAATATTGGTAATACCCTGCTGTCCTCCAAAGTTTTGAATTCTCAAAATATTATATTAATGATATTTTTGTGGGAAAATTATGTCTTCATGCTCGTCTCTTGTCCTGGGTGGCAGATTACGTCACTTCCGCCTAAAACCCATAGGTATACGATCAATAACCCTGTCCAGATGACACACACATAGGAGCTACAGTATACACACACTGGGTCTGTACAGATATACCAAAATGAAGATGTTGCCAAGTTTTCTGGCGCCATGGAGCAGTTTGGTGTCCGGTGCCATGCTCAAGGACACCTCGGGAGCACAAAGCAGCTTAACCATTAAATCCCAATGGTCAGTCCGCCCCTGGTCTGAATAGAGCTGAGTTTTGGGAGAGACTTCAGTTTGTGTGACAGATGGCCCTGAAGTATTTTTTTGTTTTGTTGAATTAGTTTTGTGAAATGACAGATGCCCTTTTGTTCTAAAGGTTGTTTTGTTGCCAGTGTTGTGGAGTTTGGCTTCATCACAGTGATTTCTAATCTGATCTCACAGGAGTGTGATGTTGCCTTTTATAGCAGAACCAAATAGTACAACCTCATTTATTCCCCTTGGCTTTCTGTTATTTATTCATTTAGGGGTCTGCTCTATACTATAGCAGCACTATTCAATTTTGCAACTGTGATTGCGGTAAACACTAAACTGGCAACAGATGTATAGCATAATAGAAGATATGGAAATATTCTGTACTGAACCAGAAGTGACTCTACGTCTCTCTCCTCCCTGCCTTCATTTCCTTTTAGTTTTTTGTGTGCATTTTCTAATCAAATGAGGCAACACAAGTAATGACTTCTGTGTGGTTTTCATAGAAACGTTGGAATGTAATGTAATGTATAACTCTGAATGTGACACACAATTCAGCTCAAAATCTAACCTTTTTTACATGTTTTAACTAGCCAATTTCATTTCATTAAATATGCATGGAGGCACCACTGACTTATCACATAATGACGTTTGTTGTTTGATTGTTTACTTATCTGATTGTATACAGTCCTGTCTGGAAGAGATAGAGGCAAACTAAACATTTAAGTAAAACAAATGAAGCACATAAACCCACTGTCCCTTTAGGAAATGGAATGATCTGATAACCAAATAAATTAAAGCTGTGCCTCTTTTTAGTAAATATCTCCTGTTTGCTTTTAATGTGGATTAATGTGAGCAGCTGCCAGGAAGCAAAGAAGGAAGCACAGCAGGAAGCACAATGCTGCCACTGTGTGGACATTAAAAGATACCCACCTTTCAGGATGTATATTACCTCCTCTGATGTTTATCATATCTCCTAAGCAGGGCCCTGACCTATTGGCTGCCCTGGGAAATATGCCCTGCACCTGAGATATGATAATAAAATAACATGCTTTCCTGGGTTAATCGTCCTGTGACAGGTGGCCTTCCTTAAATGCAATTTGGTCCATACACCCATTATAACCTATTCATTAAAAAGGAAATACAGTAATTTCCCACATTAAGCACACTCTCTGTGTTGGCAGCTCAGAGGAGCAGATGGAGCTTTAATGGACGTTCCTCTCCATCGATCTCAAACATCACAGACTGACAGTGTGAGGGGTAACTGCGTTAAATATCTGATGGAGAGCAGTTTAACAAACTAGTCTCAGATCATCACTTTAACTAAAGAACTACAATATAAAACACAGCAAAGCCCTGATGGTCTCACAGCGAGTCTCAGGTCACTGAAAAGTCAAATGACTCATTTCTAAGAATGACGTCTTTTAAGTGTGTATTGCATTGTGTGAATAAATAGCATTTTCATTTGAAATCTTGTTTAGGCCACAACTACAATATAAGGTAGTTATTATACAGGAAAAGCTGAACATTTGAATCAAAAGCTATACGACATGATGCTATGCCACCATGATCTTTTTTCATATTCTTTGACATATTATAGCCTATGACTTTTTCATTTTATTTAATATAGGCCTACTATACAACGATCTTGTAATATTTTCCAAAAACTATACTATGGCATTTTTATTACTTACCCTTAATGTTCAAATACAATTGAAAAAAAGGTCCGGATAACGGGTAAGTTTCTCTTGTTTTTTTCATGACTCTTTAGGGACTCCGAAGACTTTCATATTTTTCTGAGTTATTATCGTTTTTTAAACTTATACTGCGATTTTATTAATATTTACAAACATACTTTACTTACTATGACAACATACTATTTTCACGATAATAAAAAATAGCTTTTTCACATTTTCAACATACTTGTACTACGACTTTTTTCCATATTTTTACCAATAACTTTTTCATACTATATGACTTCTTTGAGATAGTAAACTATAACTTATTTGAGATACTATACTATAACTACTATATCATTTTCTTTCTTTTTTCTTTGACATACTGTGAGTTTTATTCAAAATACTAATATATGACACTTTTTCTTGAAATGAAGTATAGGCCTATCACTTTAAAAAACATTTCTGACTTGCTATACTACGACTTTTTACATGATATTTTCACCAAACTACACACCAACAACCAGCAGGAAAGAAAAGAGGAAAACCAATCACACATTTCAACACTTGTCATTTTAGTATTCTTCAAAACATTTATTGAACAAAAGTATTTCAATTCTCATCACGTTGTCGGTGATACAGTACCATAGTTTGATCTTGAGCGATTCATCACCTCATCTTATTTTTGAATATATACATACAGTGGAGACAAGAATTAAATAACAATGCTCAATAACATTCAGATATATCTTATAAAAGCTGAGGACCCCGTGGTCAACAACACTTCCATTGGTAAACAAATGCACAAAGAGAAAGAAGATCGACGAGGAAAATGTTTGGTAGGACTAGAATATATTTTCTTTACAAACCAGATGACGGTATTTTTGGTTTCTTGACGGTAAAATAACTCATCATAAACTGACTGCGGGTTAAGCCCCGCCCCCTTAGTTCCTGTTTCTATGCCAAAGTTCCAACACTGAGCAGCACATGAAATAAATACTTATTTTAGCGCTCAAAATATATAGTGTTTTTGAAATACCAGGTCCCTTAATTTCAGCCAGAGGGAGACAAAAGCAGCAGTCTTCTTTTTTTAGCTAGTAACGGTTTATTTCGTATAGAAAACATTTCCAGCAGTAAGAAAAAAACAAGATTCAACAACTCTTTATAATTACAAGATTTCTCAAAAGATTGACTAAGTAACTGAAGTATAAATAATTTGTAATTATTCTGAGATCTTACGGTATTATTTTAAGACATTTTCTCATCATTTTAGATTGTTTATTTAGTTTGACTTTGAGACATAGTTTCCCTCCAAACTGTGTCTCGTAGAATGAGTTACGGCTGCTAAGCTGTTATTGGACAACCGCTGCTTGGGGGAGGGGCTTAACATACAGTCAAGAGCTGTGCCTTACAAGTTTGGTGTTGGACCGTTCACATGAATAAGTAATCATTTCCAAATACTTTTCTGACCTTTGTTGGAGTACGTGTGTATACAGTAGATTTCAGGGCCATCCCTTCTTTATCTGTTAATTATAAAGGTCAATCACCACTTTCAATCAGTGTTTTTTTTGTAAATGACAATTTTTCTCACAATTCTCTGTATTCACAAGATTCCCAAACATGTACCTACCTTTGACAAAAAGAGAGATATTATTTTATAACTGTTTGCAGGAGCAGATCAAGTGTAGTTACTCAAAAGTGTTACCTAAAAATGATTATTATTTCTTAATTATTCTTCAGTCAGTATCCTACTGTATCTACAGACGCATACTGGAGGACCTTGTTCACCGTGACACGATATAAAGCATGAGCACAGAGCTATGGATGAACGGTGAGTGCAGTGCAGACCTGGAGCCAGTTCTATGGGTACAGGGTGGCACATTTGGTTACATTGATAAACATTCAAACTCTACAGGAAATCAGAGGTCTCCTATTGCATTAACGCACCACTCGCTGCCATTACAAATATTACAGGAAGTGTTGTATCCAGATTTTCAACAACATCACTAATAATGACTTGGTTTGTGGAGACAGAAGTTGAAAAAAAGTCACAAATGGGGAAAGAAATCATGTAGAGGAAAGGTGAAAATTAGGAGGAAAAAGGCAAGAGAGTGATTCTGGTCACTTTGTGAAGTCATTGTGTGGTTCAAACCTCTGCAGAGGAGTTTCAATGACCTTTCAAAGAAAAACGAGGTTTAAAATAAAGCAAGAAAATAAAACAATGGCCAGCAATAAGGTCCGTCAGACTCCTCTGTGAACTGTTTCGACTTCCTGTGTGGATTAAGAGCAATGGTGTAACCTACGATGTGCGTGGTAGTAAATGGACGTTATGTATGACATCAGCTGGAGAGCTCGACCCCAACAAGGCCTCAGGCGTTCGGTTAGCAGCAGATGTGGTCGCTGCACATGTTCACATCCCGGGGACAGAGGCTCATTAAGCACTGTGCCGTAATTAGACGATGTATCAGAGTGTGTTTTGCCGACAGATGTGAGGTTAAAGGCTCCGTTGTAGAGCTATAAAGGTCACCAGTAGGGGGCGACAGATGAAACTGGAACAGGGAACAGGGACCAGAGCTAAGGCTTGAGTTAAGACAGTTAGGGGGTGGCATTAGTATCATGTGTGTGTGTGAGATCCAGTGTAGGTGTGAGGGTGTGTGAATCACAGCAGCGCTTTGACCAGGTACAGCTTGTCTCCGTGCTCGCTGGTGAAGATGGGGGCCTTCTTGTAGTGCTCCACCAGCTCGTCGATGGAGCCGAACTTACGCTGGCCGATACAGAACACGCCCTCCGTCTGCTGCACCTTAAAGTGCTTATTCTTACTGGATGCCTTCAGAGACACGGAGAAGTCGTTGGGCTGAAATAAATAAAAGAGGGAGACAGTTGTTGATGTGATTAGAAATATGAGAGAGGATACATTGTGTTATGTTGAAAAAAATGCTAAAGCTAATACACAGATGTTAAAAAAGAAACGGACGTGTGTGAGAAAGAAGACTAAATGAAATGAAAAATGAACACCGACTGCTTTTATCCAGCAGGGGGCAGTGTGTTATCACATCTGAAAACTGTGAGACCACATTTATCAAACTGTAACATTCTAAAACACTACTCCTACTCTAAAACTTAAAATAACAGCTTCTGAAGGACACTTTTATTACAAAACAATATAGATTACGAGCTCCAGCAGTCGTTTAAAGGTTTCCTGTTGAGTTATAAACCTCCCGTTTAGGCAACATAAAAACAGAACTGGAAAATCCTCCTGCTGCCCTCACATCACCCGCATTATGTTATTTTCCTCTTGAGTTATGTAAACAATAAATGCTTCATTGGCAGAAAAACAAGACAGTAGGCTCTTGAGGATTGAGAGACTGCAGCTGCCTTCAGAGGAAAAGTCTAATTAAATAGTGGATTTTGGGGGAATGTCTTTAATGACTCAACAATTCAACACTGGTCATGATGATATCTGTCCAACATGTATATTTAAAAAAATAAACATATGAATGTATATTTTACATGTTAAGTGCTTATGGTCGTTTTAAGGTTTTAACCAAATGATATCAACTACATGTAACGGTCATTTTGGTGACTGATTCCTAATGCTCTAAAATAACATGCTAGTAATAATTGTATCACTCAAAAGCTTCTCATAAAAGCTACTCAGACTATTCCGTGTAAGTGTGAGTTTCTCGATAAATGTGTCATAGTCTCCCCTTCTTTTATAAATAACCATTTTACTCTAAGTTGGCTCTTAGAGACGGTGATGCGGAAATATTTTTGACTGAACTTCCTCTTCCACTTAAATGTATAAAAAGGCCTTTTGGTTCTGCCTCCATGATACCACTCCACCATGACGTCACCCCCAGACTCACCGATGACTCGCTGTCTCGTACCAGGAAGTCCCCCTCCTCCCCCCTCTCGTTGAGGATGCTCTCCGCCTGGTGCCGGGTGATGTCTCCGTAGTACCAGTCCCGGCCGGCGAACCTCCCCGAGCGGGCCGGGGCCACGGAGCGCTTCATGGGGGAGCCGGAGAGGGGGGGGGGGAGCTCGGGCCGCTCGTCCAGCACCACCACATAGTTCTTAGGCACCAAACCCACCACGCCGTGCGAGTTCTGACACCTCCACCACTCGGGGTCGTTCTCAGGCTTCTCCACCACCTCCATCACCTCGCCCTTCTCAAAGTTCAGCTCCTCCTCTGTCACAGAGCTGAAGGGGTAGAGAGTTTGCACCAGGTGGAGAACCGCGGCCCCCCCCCCCTCCTCCAGCTTGCCCATTGGCCAACAAAGTCCCGCGCCCCTGGTACCCCTCTGAGAAGTCTCCCTCCTCCCGGTCGTCCGGCCCCCCCAGCTCCTCCAGGACGTAGTTGGAGGGGAACCAGCCCACGCGCCCCCCCTGGCCGCCCCTCCACCAGCCGTCACTACACTTCTCCATCACCACCACCATGGAGCCCTTCGTCAGGGTCAGCTCGTCTTCTCGCTCCGCTGTGTAGGCGAACTTCACCACGGCGGGGACGTTGAGGTCGTAGATGCGTTCAGCCGCTCCTCCTCTTCCCCTTCTTCCTCCTCCTCCTCCTCCGCCCCCCCCGCTGCCATTAGAGGGGGACTCTGTGTCGGAGCTCGGCGTCGGGGAAGCATCGCGGGCGCTCGTCTTCCTCTTCGTTTTTCCCAAACCTGCAGCATGAACAGAAGGATAAAGGTCAAACCGATTGATAACTAGATTTGTTTTATTCTGATTCTGAGATTTAAACCTCAGTTATTGATTGAATTAATCAGCGAATATTCAATGGTTCAGGTTTTTCTCAATACGTTCATTTTTAATCAGGTTTTTCCTTCTCATTTGTTTTAAATAAAAAAATGGTACCTGCATTAATTCAATAATTGTTTTTCATAGTCTTTATTAGTCAGGTGTTCCCTTCTCATTTCAACAAATGTACACCAGTAGATCTTTTATTTGTCTTTCTTCTCATTTGTTTTTAATTAATCCGAAACATGAAGTAATAGTCTTTCTGACCACGACTAGAAAAACGACATATTATCACCTCATAGATTTTATGCAACTATTTGTGTTTATCTGTATATCCTGCAGACATCATGCACCTTATTATAATGATGTTAGTGTAATAATGTGTTTGTTTGTCCTCCTAAATGCTCCACATAGCTGAATAACGGTAAACCCTTCAGTTCCCTTTGCAGTAGGGCTGCTCGATTATGGCAAAAATCATAATCTTGATTATTTGGGTCAATAATTGATATCACGATTATTAAAAAACGATTATCCATTTACTTTGAAAACATACATTTATTGAAAAAAATGTGTAATAAGTTTTTAACAGTTGATTAAATTGATAACAATTTTTTTTTTAAATAAATAATAATTTAAAAAAAAAATCGTTTTATTTTGATTATGTTGTTTTCATAATCGTTGCAAGCCAAAATCGCAATTATGATTAAAATAAGATGAATTGAGCAGCCCTACTTTGCAGTGTGTCAAATCAAAACAAGAAGCTGAAAGAGCTTAAAGGGAGCTGCTGAGTCAGCTGGTTATTCTCTGTGGGTCGCGCCTATAAGCAACCCCTTTCACGAGCAGTCATTTAATCCATGGTTAATATAAAAGCATCGATCGAAGCAGCGGTTTGAGATGTATAATTGTAAAACATTGGGGTGGTGGACGGTGAAGGAGCTGTAAAGACTGAGAGCGGAGAAAAGCCTGAGCCCTTTAGGTCAGCAGCAAACTAATTGAGGCTGCAAGGACCCTCACAAGCACACAGACTACTTTAGAAACGGAGGACACAGGATATTCTACGAGAAACCTCTGAGGTGAAAAGACCAATCAATACTCCAGATAATAGAATGAGAGGTGCACACATCCACCTGCACTGCCCCGTGTCCTTTCACTCAAGACTTAAAAGCTCCTTTTCTAGTTGGGATCCTGTCTACACCATGTACATCTATACTAATCAAAAAGCTGAAAATAGATAGACAGGGAATGAGAAGTGGAGCAGGCACCCTGGGCTTGATCATGACAAGATATCCAGGATCAAAGTCTGCGGCTGCCTAACCCGAATCTGACTCCTCCATCCGTGTACTTTCAAAGACGTCTTTATGTGTTTGCAAACTTCAATTAGGCTTTAAGTGTCTAAAGTCTCTCAGCAGAACACACCCAAGGAGGTCCCCCCTTAAAATAATAATGATACACCATGTGGCTGACAACATTTAAAGCGTTCACTTGACGGTTGAGCTTCTAATAGCTGAAGTGAGTTTCCTGACAGCTATCCCACTTTTCCCCTCGCAGAGCTGCGCTGAAATGCCACGGAAATGTCACTGCCGAATACAACATTTACATTGTTGGAAAACTGCCGGGTTCACTCAGAGTAGCATGAAACTTGTTGGCGGAGGGAAGAGGAAGAGGAAGAGGAGACGAGTTGTGTGAAGAGAGACGAGGGGTCCCTTGGCAGCTGTTTCTCACACAAACAGTAGACCAAGCACATCAGAGGCCACAGCTGACACAAAAACGCAAAGAAGAAGAAGATGGAGGATGAGGCGGGAATAACAAGCAGATCATGTTTATGGATGTGTGTGTGTGTGTGTGTGTTCCATATCTCTTGACTGTGAGACAAAGACTCTTGGGCCTACTTCAGAGGGTTTTCTTTGTAATATTAAATTGACTTTCGCTGCGGGGTAACAAAGAGTGACACATAACGGCAGGACACACACACACACACACACACACACACACACACACACACACACACACACACACACACACACACACACACACACACACACACACACACACACACACACACACACACACACACACACACACACACACACACACACCACACACACACAACACACACACACACACACACACACACACACACACACACACACACACCACACCACATCACACACACACACACACACCACACACACACACACACACACAAACACACACACACACACACACACACACACACACACACACACACACAGGTTGGCGCAGCAGCAGGATATCATCCCGCCGCCCACACACTCACTCGCAACCTTGAAAGGAGACTAGATTGTCAAACCCAGAAGACGTCCACTCAGAGGGGGGAGCGTTGATGAAAGCATGTTGCAGCACATTGCTTCACTGTAAAGCTCACATTGGAGGGCAGTTGTCGTGGAAATTGCTTTAATACATGCGTCAACACTGTACCGCAGACATATTAAGCGTGAAGCGATGAAAAGGCAGAGAATTAGCACTGCGCTGTGATTTAAAGGAGCACTTTGAGTGAATCACAGATGAGCTATGTGGCCTTTTAAATAGCCCTAGCCAAGTTGCTCTCTTCTCTACATTCCTCAAGTGTCACTGGGACCAGACTTAATGCATTACTGTGTGTAAAACCAATTAAACCTGCCAAAAGCCCCGGGGCAGACAAATGAAAATGAATTGGAAACGTTAAAAGCAAGCAGCCCACATGGCATGCACATTCAGCATTTGAGGGTACAAACTATGCACAAGGGTTCAGATTTAAAGGTTCACATTTCCTATTTTAAAAAGGAACATGTTTTGCTTTACTGGAGCTGCAGATGAAGAAGACTAGATGGCGGGAATGCTGACTGTGCACACCTCCCTGATGAGGATGATGATGAACCCTCCCCTAACGCTTCCTTCAAAACACTTGAGATTACAAAAACATGACATACAGCTACTGTTAAAGGTTTAAAGTAAATATTTCAACTTTCCCTGCTTTATTTTGTTTTACAGAAGTCTTTCAATGTGTTGCAGTAGATTTGGCAACAACCTGGTAAGAGAGAATTACAAGTCCCAAGTGGACAAGGGTGAAACTTGCTGACCGCGCTGAAACGTTAAGAGGCTACGGCAAATACTAGCAGTTTTTTTTAGGCTGCAATTTGGCATGGCTATTAGCGGATGGTAACTTTAGCATGCCAACACGATCACAATGAAAATGCCCACGTGTTGATTTTAATAGTTGCTTATTAGCACTAGGCAGCAGAGGTGAATGGGAAGTTGTTCTAAACAAAATGTTGACCTGATGGTCGAGCTAGATGAAAATGTAATGTACCAAAAATATATTAAAGGTCACCTATTATGCAAAATCCACGTTTTCATGTCAACACGTCTCTGTGGAAAGAGATTCTGAAAGTATCAGGAAAAAAGATTCTCTCACTTTTTGTCCTGCATTTATATAAAAACCTGTCTGAAAATGAGCTGATCAGATTTTGGCCACTTTGTGATGTCATAACGATGTTTTGGCTTGTGTAACCATTAGCCAATCACCAACCAAGGTAACCCCCCCCTCCTTATCACCTGAATCTCCTCCTAGAGCACCATTGTGTTCTTTTTAACCAAATCTCTCTCAGAGGGGCGTGGGGAGGGGCTCCTTATTTTCATCTAAAGTAACAGACAGAGAATCAGCACTTTGGAAACAGGGCTGAAACAGAGGGGATTATGGGTAATGCTGCAATGATCTGTTTGGTGCCAAACACTTCAGAGACATGTTTTGTATCTGAGACCTATAATATATTGATGATAAACAGTATGATAGGGGACCTTTAAAATTCATTCCTGAAGAGAACAAGAATCTGGCAATCCGATAGTTGTTGAGATTTCTAACTATTTGGACACATTTCACTTCAAACCAATGGCAGGTAACAATGAATGTCTCTAACTAACTAACGAGTGGAGCGACTGACACACCGATATTTCTATCTATAAACAGCTTTTGCCATCTTAAATGTATGTTGATAGCGTGGCTGAAAACATTGAAAAGGGTCAGTGGAATCACACTGGGGATATTCAACGAATGTATTTCTCTTCGACCACTAAGTCACAACTAGACAATCTCAATAATTTGTCATTCTTATCATAATCAACTCACATGACCCTTGATACCAGCCATGCTCTCTGTAGACCATGTACTGAAAGGATTTGTGGTCATATTAGGAGCTTACTGACTGAACTACTGTCGACCACATATTGTACTTCTACAAAGCAGCACATTTTGTTGCCTCCTTTGAACAGGAAATGGGTCTATTTTTGCTCGACACTTAAAATAACTGTTCATTAGAGAGTCAAAAGGGCTGCAGCCAGAGATATAATGCCTTTTGACCCACGGACAGGATTTTTAAAATACCTCACATTCGCCCACGCACCCTCACACATCGCTGCCATGTACAAACTCAGGTGGACAGAAATGCAACTAGTTCGTCATACTGTAGAGCACAGGCCCACTTTCAGCAATAAGGAAGACCTTTGCTGTTCTCTTTCAGCCATTACTGTCTTTATTTTCTGTGCAAGGAAACTGGGGCACAAAGCAGCATGGAGCCGTTTACAATTCAATTCTGCCTGGGTGAATGTGAGTAGTTATACACATACCACTTTCGTCTCATTAGTATGCATAGAAAGTGACAGGTCACACCTCTCCCTACTTATTAAGCCCCGCCCACTTCCGGCTAAACCCCGCCCACTTCCGGCTAAGCCCCGCCCACTTCAACCGGAAGTCCCGCCCACTTCCACCGGAAGTCCCACCCCCATAAGCCCCGCCCCTTCCACCGGAAGTCCCGCCCCCACTTCCGGTTTTTCAAAATAAAATTAAAAAATATTTTAAAAATGATAAAAATAAAAATGCTGCCCCTACCGGTCACCCCCACTTCCGGTTTTT